TTTACATGAACCCCAAAAACATAGCAAAATCTCACTCGGTATTGCATCGCCTCAGAGGCTCAGACTCAATTCTTCCTTTTTATTCTGAAAGAATTAGGGCTAAGAATGTACGATTTGTAGAATGTATCCGTGCAAATTCTGGTATACATTAAAACATAGCAACAGTTGAAAGAATCGCCTCGTAATGTCTTCTTCTGAAACCGAAAAATTCGTCTAAAATTGCATCAGAAAGGGACAAATAAGTGACATTGCTCATAATACTGTACAATCTTTGTCAAAATAAAAAAGGCTCTGAAATGAATTTGACGAAGGCTTTTTGCTAGTTACTATATTAGGAATATGACCGGATTTGTGTTGAATAATTGGAGAAAATAGGCGTTTTCATTGCTTATTCAAAATGTTTACTACAAATACGTATAATTGGCATGAATGCTCTGTACTTGCATGAATATCGGTTTAATCCCTTCTTGAGTCAGAGATAATAATTCACATCAATTTTCTTGCTTTTCTATAGAAAAGGTGTTCTGAAATTCAGCTCCACTTGTGACTAAGGAAGATTAGAACCTTTACATGTTGAGTTAGTGAGCATTAAAATAGATTGGAATTGAGGAATTTCAGTGTAAATTCAAATTAAGGAGGTTTTGACTTCTGCAGGTTCAATTTGGCAAGGTTCAACTGCATTAAAAAGTCATGCCTTTAAGCTGCCACCATTTCTTTGTGAGGTTTGTAGTGGTTCAGCATGGTTTGCAGTATATCAAAAACACTCAGAAAATCATGCACTTCCTGAAATGCAATTGTGCATAATACAAAAATAACCCTGCGAATTCCTGGGAGACATACATTTTAGCTAGCTATGGATTCCAAGAAGTAAATTGTGGCTCCTTTGCCATAATATATTTTTTTTCTTCGAAGACCTCTCGAAACTTGATAAATGTTGCTTGGTATGAAAGCAAATATTAATGCAGTAGCTATAGCAGAATAGTTTGTTTGTCGGTAATTTTTGCAGATGGTGGATGAAATTTCAACAGGGTTTTCAAATGTTTTCAGCATCATGGAGGACTTCTTTTGCAAAATATGCTGACAGTTTCTGAGCGTAGCAACTGATCAGTGGTATCTTAACCGGGATTGACTATTTTTTATTATGTTATCCCCTGCAATATACGCCAGAAGTGCATGCTCGAATGGCTGCTAATATCATTATTATCTTTTTAAGCTGCCCATTATTTATTTCAATTTATCTCCGGGAAAAACTTCCGTGACGATTTAAACTTGCAATCACTGCAATCCTCGAGGTGTTGATTTGTGAGCATTTCGCTTTGTCATATTGTTATTTCTCCTAACCAGCGAACGATTTCAGCGTAGTCGGTAGCACCTGCTTCCAATACTGCGCCTGCAAAAAAGTCATTCAGCGCACTTTGAAAATGACCGGCATTTTACTTATTTGGCATGCAAATTCTCTCTGAAATGCGCTGATTTTCTACCCTGCTCGCGGGGCACATTAGACGAAATTTGGCCCTCGCACTTTCCAATAATGCTTGATCCAAATAACTTCCCAAGCACTTCATCCGTTACATACCCGATTTGCAAAAAAAAACAATAAAAATAATGAAAGCTAGCAATAAGGGGGGAAGCCCACTTTTGCTCAGAATTTCCGCTACACACACATGATACTTTCAAAGGGCTGCCAGGCGTGAATGATTGTTCCTGTCCACCATTTACCTGCTTCTATGGTCGGACTTGTGTACGGGTATTGTACAAGGGAAAAGCTTGATTTCACTTGGGTTGTCAACCGATTGTGGGGTGCGTGACGCGATATCGGCCAATGAAGCAATTCCACGAATCCGTTTCCCCGTTACGTGTATTGTTTATCGAGGGAGTTGTCACATTTTGCTGAGCGGAATGTGATACACACCTGGGGAAGGAATCCGTGTCCAATCGACGCCAATAATACAACCGAAGTATAGTCAATAGTGAAGAACATTCTTTCTTCCTTCTTTCACTCTTCATTGGGTCTGTGTCTAATTCTACTGTTGGGTCATTGAGATTCTCTTTGTTTTCCTTATTTATTTTATTCTCTATTATTGAGGTTCCAAAATATTGACATTGACTCCATATGGGGCATCTGTTGTGCAGGAGAAAATGTACACTGAGGAAAATTCAGTAAAGGTTTTTTTTCTGCAGCTCTGCAAACTGTGATTTTAAATATTAGGCGGTCTTCACACAAAAATAACTGTACAGCATTGTATTTTACTCTTTTTTTATTCCCTCTTTGTCATCAGATTTTTATAGCTGTGCTTGGATTTGGATTTGTGCACAAATTTGCCATTATTCCTGGGTGTATAGTTTACTCAGTGTTTTTTTATGAATTTTGTTGTTTCTTTGCTATCAAATCTAGACAATAGATCATTCTGAAGAAACTATGAACATATATTTGAGGTGTCTTGTCCTTGAATATATACTGATTTACTTATTAAGTACCACATGCACCTTTTTCTTATAGGTGCGTGAGGAGAAAAAAATTGGGTATACATCATCAGTGGGTATATTTTTGCAAAATTTTTCATGTTTAGCAGAGTGCACTATGCTCCAATCTAATGTGGAACATTGATCAATTTTATCAGAGAAACTCATTCTTACAGAAGCAATTGAAAATTAGAGAAAATCAGGTTTCAATTTATGTCAATGTTCAAATGTTGATGCTCTTATTGAAGTACCGTATTAGATGAGTTACTAAAAATGGAGCTGCTGGTGATTGTCTTTACTAAGGGATACAATTCTATCAAAATTTTAGGCAGAAAACCTTGAATATGTGTCTTATACTAAAGGGTGCATGGTACTCAAGTAAAAACAGTACTGTACTGTATACATGACTGCAAATTGGCTGATTGACTGGGTTTTTATCATCTATTCTTTTGTTGAGTTCAGTTGATGCACTACAGCAATAACAACCCTTTTGAGCTCTTTTATTGTGATAATTCCAGGCGGTGATTTGATCAAACAATCGAGTTTAGGAGGAATTACGTTCTTCACTTGAATTCGAATGGGGCTCTTATCAAAACTTGTAGAGGGCCCATTAAAAAACGCGTGATCATTTATTAATAATAACGAAATATTAATTGCATTAATGTAACGTACTGTATTCTGAACTCAATTCCTTTCTTTTCCGCGGGATAATAAGAAAACCCTGCGTTTTATTTTGACATCTTGGAAATCTTCGTTCATTTTCACAAGGCAACAGGTATAATAAGATAATTAATCATACGGAAGAGAGAGTGCTTCATTCGGAATCATTCCTCTCTGCAACATTTCGCCGAACCCGCACCACCTAAACCCGAAGAATGGCAAGAATCCCATCGGTTTCTTCCTCCAGCATGCAGCTGCGTTCCAGCAAACGTCGTCGTCGCGACAGGCCAAAAAAAAAAATGCACTAACAATTCCCTTTTCTCTGGCTGCTTTTTCCCTATTTCCCGTTGGCATTCCAATACCCTTCTCGTTGACATAGTTCTCGTGAGCCGAATCCAACCAAGCATTGCGTAACGGGGCTGGTTCTTGATCGATTCGAAGTCTTTTATATACCGGGGTATAAATATACAGTGTTTCAGTGAATTGTCAAATTACAACTGATGACGTTTCTTAACTGAAACCCGTGTTCTGAATACGAGGTATTGGCATATATTGTTTGCGTCTTGCTGTCATTGATTAATCAGTCGGGATCAAATCTGATATTCTAAATAAATTTGTTGTTAGCGGTTTTTTATATACACAAAATTCAAACATGGAACCATCAGCATCTTCATACTTTTTCTTTACCATGAGACGAGCGAATTTCGAGAAATAAAACGACAAAATCTCGAGAAAGGTCCTTTTTTTTTGTTTCACAGCCGACCGAATTTTGCGTTCCAAGCTGGAATATTAAATAAGATACATATAGTGCTCAGTTTTGAAATTTTTTGATGAAAAGTGTCGCTTACTTTCCGAGTCGAATTTCAAAAAAAATCACATTATCCAAGTTTCGATTCAACACCTTGTTTTAGATTTTAATTCTGTTTCGGTTTAAGTCCAAATAATGGGCTTAGATAGAAGATTCAACCTGATCCAGATCTTTCATCGAGTTCACAATCTAAATCATAATCCATTTGAGTCCATATATAATGCTGAAATTATAATAGAACATATTATTCTCTAAAAATATATTTCAGCAATCCTCATTTTAATTCGTTATTTCATAGTCCAAAATATTCTTTTAGATTGTAACTCTCGTCTGGTTTAGGCTGTCCGCCGAGTTTAAAAATTCGGATCAATGTTCAAATGCTTGCATATACATTATTTTAAATATTCAATATTCTAAAATGTAATTCTGCATTCCCTATGTCCCTAATATTTTTCGTATCGAGAGATCGTTGCTGTATTTCAATTCATTTGTGCATTATAACTGTAATCGAATTAGTTCCAATGAAGATTTCGGCGAAATTAAGAGGCTAAATTTACTTCCAAAACGACGGTTTTTTTTTTGTGAAACGGACTCACGCGATTGTTCACCCCGAAAATAACATTATTGCACGCACAAAAATGCACAGACCAGAAATCATGGCTTATTGGGCAATTCTGACATGGTTTTGCACGTTTGGCACACACGAGAATTCCTTTTAGACACGAACATATCTCGGGTTTAAGACTTCAAGCATGTTAGGCGGTGTTTCAGATACTGTAGTTTAAGGAGCAATTAGTTCACTGGAGTGTAAGTGAATGAGTCAATTTCCACTCGTTTCACACACAGCAGTTTTCAGATCGAAAAATTCTGAGGATATTGCGTGCAGACGCTCAATAATCTCATCCTAGGGGAATTATACGGATAGAGAATGATGGCGTATTATCATCCAGTTAGAAACAATTGAGTTTTCATCCTTGACTACAGCACCTGAGAAACGGGATTTTTCGACATTACCCTCGGGAAAAGCGTTCTACTGTATACACAAAACGGACGCAGGAAATGAAACGAATTTTTTAATATGCAAACAATTTACATTTCAGTAAAATTTGAGAATTTTTCACTCGGACATCGAGAAATGCACAGGTGGCGTGAAATAACGCTTTATAAATTGAAAAAATACACACATACGGCGGAATGTTGCCACAGTAAACCAGCTGCAGCTGCGAAATTGCTAAATTCTTTCATTAGTTCAAATGCACTTACCTTTTTTTCTTTTCTTTATAACCAAAACCTTCAAAAGAAATAGAAGATAGTATAAAAAACGAACACAGTACGGAAGGGGGCAAGCCCTGGAATTCAAAACTTCTTCTTACCACTGAAGTTCGCAAATTTTTCACGACCTAACCAAATTTCGACAAAAAATGCTTTAAAAAAAATGAAAAAAAATAATTTCCATTCGACAGTGAGCAATACTTTGACAGCGGAATTCAAGCATGTCAAATGCAATTTCCAACAAAATATTTTAAAATAAACGCAGATGTTTTCTGTTGGTCATTTTAAAACCGGTTTTCCTCCATCAAATCATAGTCGCGTTTATGATCTGTAAAAAATGAGCATTTTAATGCTTTAATTAGAACTGTTGGCAGGTCAGTCACGTAATGACTTCTGGATTACATCAGCAAGCCTTAGAGGGTTGTGAAAAACCTTCACTTCCAAGAAATTTAGCTGGATAAATTATGAGCCATTTAAAAAGGAAGCATTTCATCACAAAATAATTTTTTAGTGGAAGAATGTATATTATTTTATGATATTATTATTTCATGATTTTATTATGACACAAGGTAGCCAACCAAAGTATTCTGGACGGACTCTTTCTCAATCGTTACATATATTCTGGTCAACCGTAATACATGTGATAAAAATGCTGTATCAAGCAACAAAAATATTAACATGAGTTTAGGAGGGCAAATATTGGTTCAGTACTTCAATTTCAGCTTAGAAAAGCTCTGAATGGCAGAGTCGGCCATAATCCATCATTTTTCATGTAAATTTCACTTCGTTCGACAACATTTCAGCAGGAGACTTCAAATCTAATTATTTTACGTTCATTTATCTTCTTTTGGGAAAAATTTCAGCTTAGAAAAGCTCTACTTCGAAAAAAAAAACCAGTCTCGACATTCCATCCGTAATTTTTTACGTTAATTCATCTTACTTTGAAATCATTTCAGCAGGAAAAATATTGGCACTTCGATTTCAGCTTAGAAAAGCATTACTTCGGGAAGTCAGCCTCTACATCAAATTCGTAATTTTCACGTCAATAATGTATATCTCTTTACCAATGTTTCCCAAATTCTTATTTCAATTTTCCTGGCATTTGGAAGTTTAAAAAACCTTTACTTCGCAAAATAAATTGCTTTACGCCGGCCAATTTTTTCTCGCATAGAAATGTGTTCTCAGGAGGATTTTCTGATAAACGAAAAACCGGGACCCAATTGTACGTATATTTTCGGAAAAATACGGCTTATTCTAAATTTGGCCGGACGGTCTGAAAAATAAAATAAAATAAAAAATAGATACGTTTATGATAATCACACCGACCATTCGGGTTTTTTGTTGAAATTGATGTTCTGATCGGCGCACAAGTCCCGCACGAAAGGCACGCAACTGAAATACTTGCACACCTCGCAGTCGTACACCGGAGACACGTAAAACAGGATCATGAGCGTGACAAACGAGGCCACGGCGACGCCGATACACACAAATATGAGCAGGATTTTCCGCTTGCGGTCGTAGTCGCCAAAAGTCACAAACGGCAACAAGGCATAGGACATGAGGAAGCCAAAGAAGAAGCCGAAAACGTGCGCGTAATTATCTACCCAGGGCAAAAGCCCGACGACAACGAGGACGAGCAGGATGCCAGCCAGTTTGCCCAGGGCCTGGAGCGGGTGTCGCAGCATCTGCCACGCGTTGATGACTTCCACGATGAGGCAGGCGAGGAGTCCGAACTGGGCTCCAGCAGGACCCACCTATACAGTAATAAACAGTAAAGCAATGAATACAGGGTACTTTCCTGTTATCTCAGTACCTACTTTCCTGTTATCTCAGTACCTACTTTCCTGTTATCTCTGTACCTTCCCTCTGACCAATTTAGCCTGACCTAACCTAACTTCACCTAACCGCATCCCAAAATCAGTTTCTGCTTTCTTTGGGTTCTGCTGAAACTGATTTTGGGAGGTGGTTAGGTAAAGTTAGGTTAGGTCAGGTTATGTTATTTACAAATATCTTTTAACTAGTGTAACCTGACCTAACCTAACTTTACCTATAACCGCCTCCCAAAATCAGTTTCAGCAAAGAAAGTTACTTCTTTCTCTCTATGTAGAATGAGTTAACCTACCTCACCTATCAACAAAAATATGTCTCCATTTATAAAAAAATAAAATTCACAGTTTCTGGTAGGTTGTTGTGATTATGAACTTGTCCTAAAGATTTTTCTGGATGGTAGTGCAGTCTAGGAATGAGGTACTGAGATAACAGGATACAGGAAAGTTCCAAATACGGTACATCCAGGTGGTGTACCTTGCAATTCAACCTCCCACAATTTGACCATCTCATAATTTGATGGTGAAATTTGCTGGGAGGTTATTGACTCTCAATTTGACATCTGCCATGCAAATTCAACCTGTGGAGAGACATGAAACGTCACATGCCATGTAGAAAACATGTCATTTGACCATGTTGCTCAATTTGACTGCTCTGCTATTTGAACATACCCAAGCAATGGATTATAGGGTCAAATAGCAAGGTACAGAACCACCTGTATATAAGGTATAGATCCAAGTAAATCTTGGAGGACCAAAATAAACTGTTAGCCGTGTACAATTTCTCCTCAAAGATTCTCTCCAAATTGTTTGATCAACTACAACGTATCTTGGAGCAGGCTGATCACTTTGTGCTTCAATTTGGGCTCAGCAATTGCCTTATGCTGCAAATCTTACCACTGATTTTTTTTTTTATTCCAGTGAGGGGAACAAAGTGTATGTATTTACATCAGTTGTGCATTTGTACATTTTGCGATATATTTGATTTTCTGTTAATACTGATAGACAGCTTATTTCTCTTTTTGCATTATGATGTGATGCGAAGTGTTTGGATGAATGTGGGTAAGGAGGGGAGGTGGTTTGGATGTGGGATCATTGTTTGAACCTTGCAAATGCTGAAAAACGAAAAATAAAGTTTATTTATGAATCAATATAAGCAACATACTCATATTATTCACTCCAGCACACGCACAATTTTTTTGCCCAATAAATTCGGGTGAAAAAAATTACTGCGCGTCATATAGTTGGGTAGAAAATTTCAAGTGACTTTTGCTTTATATTTAAAAATTACTAACGATTTTCAGAATTTGCTTTCAAAGTTTTCTGTTTTAATGATCCTACTGTATTATTTGTTTGAAACAGAAAATCTCGAGATAGGGAAACGAACATTTTTGTGGTGGGAAATCCTTGAAGAATGGAGTATTGAATGAAAATTTTAATTTTCCTGGATCAAAACTTCGGCCATTTTTTTAAACAAAATTCCTTTCAAAAATCAGAATATCAGTCTCTCGAAATTTCTTTACAACTTTGCCAAATAGGATGCTAAGAATGCCCATGTGCATTGAGATTTGAGACTCACGTCATCTTTCATGTTTCACATGGGTCCAAACGTAACATAAGTAAACTTCACATTAACAAATCTTCGCAATAAGGTCTATAATTTGGACCAGTTTCATAGACCAAAGCACATGGCATCCCTTACATTCATTCATGAGCTTGATTCGACGTGAAAATCATCTCTGAATCTCATCTACACCTAAAAATTAAAAAAAAAATTATACTCAGCATGTTTTACTTGTTATATGAAACATTTATAACAAGTGACATATTTTAAGGCCGGAAGGACCAATCTGCAAAAAATATGAAAAAAGGAAAAAATGCCTAAACACAGGGTATGAAAACGTTACCATTTTACGGGATCCTTATTTTCCCATAATCATCACATTCCTGGCCTGAGAACGGTATTCGATACGTGAGAATGCACCAAGTACTGTACTATACTGTAATGTACAGTAACATGCTTTTCAACAGCATAATGGTTCTAATCAACGGAACTTAACGATGATCAGACGCACAAAGTTTACAGAGACTCCTTTGTAAAGAGTTTATCTTGATTGCCCCGATTCACAGGCATTCTCTCATGCAACTTGAGCAAAACGGTGCAGAAAGCATTGTACAAAATTATATCCGAGCTCCTATTAACCATCAGCAGGGATACGATCCAATTTGTATCCTTCCCCAAAGGATAAAAATTAACCATCTAATCGTACAACATTTACCCCTTCTAATTCTCACAACTTCTAATTTACGGCGTCCAGTATGCGACATTTACACCTTTTTGGCGCCTAATTGAGCCCGTTTATTCCCTTCTGATCCGCTGAACATTCAGGCTAATGCACTTCGAACTGTGCGAAATTTTCAAATGATATATTATTTCTGGTCATTCTTGAAATCGTGACATGTCGCATTCGCATTTTCGAAAGAACGGAATCCGTCATATATTCGAGTTATTCAGGCGTAGGAAATCGGTGAATAACCCGGATAATTAATTTATAACGGATTTACCCTATCTCGAAAATAACGAATACCGTTTTTCGCGTGCAGTGGAATATTCAACCCAAATCTACAAGGCGTAAANTATATTTAAAAATTACTAACGATTTTCAGAATTTGCTTTCAAAGTTTTCTGTTTTAATGATCCTACTGTATTATTTGTTTGAAACAGAAAATCTCGAGATAGGGAAACGAACATTTTTGTGGTGGGAAATCCTTGAAGAATGGAGTATTGAATGAAAATTTGAATGTTCCAGGCTCAAAACTTCGGCCATTTTTTGTAACAAAATTCCTTACAAAAATCAGAATATCAGTCTTTCGAAATTTCTTCAAAACTTTGCCAAATAGAATGCTAAGAATGCCCATGTGCATTGAGATTTGAGACTCACGTCATCTTTCATGTTTCACATGGGTCCAAACGTAACATAAGTAAACTTAACAGCATTAACAAATCTTCGCAATAAGGTCTATAATTTGGACCAGTTTCATAGACCAAAGCACATGGCATTCCTTACATTCATTCATGAGCTTGATTCGACGTGAAAATCATCTCTGAATCTCATCTACACCTAAAAATTTTAAAAAAAATTATACTCAGCATGTTTTACTAGTTATATGAAACATCTATAACAAGCGCCATATTCTAAGGCCGGAAGGACCAATCTGCAAAAAATATGAAAAAAGGAAAAAAATGCCTCAACACAGGGTATGAAAACGTTACTATTTTACGGGATCCTCATTCTCCCATAATCATCACATTCCTGGTCTGAGAACGGTATTCGATACGTGAGAATGCACTAAGTACTGTACTGTAATGTACAGTTCATGCTTTTCAACAGCATAATGGTTCTAATCAACGGAACTTAACGATGATCAGACGGACAAAGTTTACAGAGACTCCTTTGTAAAGAGTTTATCTTGATTGCCCCGATTCACAGGCATTCTCTCATGAAACTTGAGCAAAACGGTGCAGAAAGCATTGTACAAAATTATATCCGAGCTCCTATTAACCATCAGCAGGGATACGATCCAATTTGTATCCTTCCCCCCAAAGGATAAAAATTAACCATCTAATCGTACAACATTTACCCCTTCTAATTCTCACAACTTCTAATTTACGGCGTCCAGTATGCGACATTTACACCTTTTTGGCGCCTAATTGAGCCCGTTTATTCCCTTCTGATCCGCTGAACATTCAGGCTAATGCACTTCGAACTGTGCGAAATTTTCAAATGATATATTATTTCTGGTCATTCTTGAAATCGTGACATGTCGCATTCGCATTTTCGAAAGAACGGAATCCGTCATATATTCGAGTTATTCAGGCGTAGGAAATCGGTGAATAACCCGGATAATTAATTTATAACGGATTTACCCTATCTCGAAAATAACGAATACCGTTTTTCGCGTGCAGTGGAATATTCAACCCAAATCTACAAGGCGTAAATAATTGTATATTTGAAGAAAACTGCAGTATTTTAAGTCCTATGGCAAAAAAGAGCCTGTGTCAAAATAAATTTGAATATTTTTTGGGAAGGGGGAACATGAAAACAATGTTCAGAAGATGCTGACAAACCGCGGCTAGATTTCAGTGACCTTTGGAAAAATCTTCACACCGTGAGTTTCTCATTTTGAAATTTCTTTCAACCACACAGGTCAGCATATAAACCTGATCGTATTCCAAAACATTTTATTCCCAACGGTACCTTTAATGTATCTTTCAATTAACTCAAGCGGGGTTTTGAGCAAATTTCACTTCGTTTAAAATTTGTCTCGTCCTCAAAATAGGCCTCGAAATATCACACAGAGAGAAAAAAAAAATCAAAGAGACACTCACATCAGCACGATACGGGATGAAAATTGCAGACGCCAAATTGCCTCCGATCCCAGCGGTGAAGTAAATTATGCCAATCCTCAAAGGACCCGCCATCTTCTCCAAATCCCGCATCACGTACCACTGTACCAAAACGGTGATGCCCAAATGTATGAGACCCGCGTGGAGGAACAAAGACGTGAAAACTCTGTAGAACTGGTCTGGTTTCTCGGGATTGTAGAAAGGAAGCATTCCACACACGCTGTCCAAACAAGACACCTTCGAAACAAATAACAGATGAAAACTATTATACGAAAGCTTCAAAAATGTTTTCCTTGCAAAAAAAATGCTAAAGAAACAAAGATTGACTTATGTATCATTCCGACCAAAATTTACACGAAAATTTGCACTCTCACCTGAGAACACAAGAAGGCGTTCTTGTGAAAATATCCGTTGACAAACTGACAATATTCGAAAGTTGTGATGCGACAGTCTCCGTGGATTCCGATGCAACACGGTCTGCCAATGATTTCGCACGTCACGTGATCCGCGGCTTTCAATTCACGAGCCACCACAGCCAAAGAGGTGGAAAAACTATCGCGGAAATCAGTTTCTCCTTGATGGTTTTTGCAAGCCGCTAGATGGCCTAGCAGACACGTTTAGCCGGTGAACCAGTGTAGTAGACCGGTTTGCATGCCGTTTTGACTGCGTCCGAGGAACGTTATAGACTTTATAAGTTTTACAAATTTAACGCACGAATCTTCTCACACGAACAAGATTTAATGTACCCAATGAAGAAAAGCGTACGCCCAATATTCGAAGGCGTTTTTTAATAATAAAAAAAAAAGTTAGACGTTTGATGAAATCATGGTACATTTTCAAGTAAAGAATTGCTCCTGACAAATAACAATTTCAAGAAAAAATTGCGTGGGAACATAATTTTAAAAAGCAGAATATAATTTCAATTCCATTAAAAACTGGCTTCTGATTAATTCAGCACGTAATGCAAGCATGAGAAGAATAAGCGACTCTTTTCATGAAGAAAATATGCGATAAAATTAAATTGCGTTTTATTTCCAGGCAAATAGCTTCTTTTTTGGGCAAAAAAACGAGCACACCAACTAATGTCCGTCTTCTGCTAAACGGAAAAGAAAGGGAGGAATTTAGCCATCTTGAAAATATATTTCCTTAAGTTTTCTGAGCACTGAACAATTCATGAAACATTCTATAGACATTAAATACAAGATGAAAAACTACAACTCACGCAGGGTCCAATCCACAAACACTTCCAGAGATCCGATTATCAGGACCAGGATCTTGCAGAGACCAACGTTTCCATGTTGACAGAGTTGACTGTAACATTTGAATTTTGCAAAAATAATGTGAACCACATACTGCTCGAGGTCCAAGCCAAAAATTTGCCGGCTCCCAATAATCTACAGCTTGCTTCACCAAACTGGGAACTGTCACCTGTCAAAAAGGAATGAAATAGCGTACGTCAATTTCGTCCAACGTTTGTACACAGAAACAAATTCAAAATACGGAAATTGACTTTTCTACAGTATTTTAAAATTTCAGAACACCGCAGAGAATTGAGACATTTCAATATTGAATCCAGATTCAAAAGTTTTTTATATGATTTCGAGTTAATATACCACTCCAGAAATAAAGTATTGCTTTTCTCCGAATGTATTTAGCCATTTATGATTTATCCACCTGAAAAATTATCTTTCAATCAGTTTCAATCTACGCACTATTGATCAATGTACTGCTCGCTACAATTGTTCTCAGAAGCAATCTACATATTTAATTTTTTGCATCTTCCGTTATCTCAGTGTCTAAATTATGCGTAGAAAATCAGAGTTCTAAAGCTAAAGTGATTGATAATTATTAATAAAATGTATTACCCCTAAAATCAAGACAGCATGTGTATGAAAGTCCATTGGCTCACGCGTGGCATTCTTTTAATTAAAACATCTTATGCAGAGCGTTTAGAATATCACAGTAAATCCACATAACTCCGTTTCAAACCTGCTCGATTTTTTTTTTACTCCGTGTGAAAAACTCGATATTTTACTTATTTGGAATATTGAAAGTAACATTATTATTCAGAGTTGTGGCTTCTTCACAGCCCAAACTTTGATATTACAAAGATATTCCAATCATATATCCATCACAATAAATTTCATTTTACAACGAGGTAAACAAAAGGCTTTTATACATTCGCAGAGATTTTCAGAATTAAGGAAGGGACTATTTTTGTACACAGTGGGTATTATCGTCAGATGAAAGAAGTTGAAAACCTGAGGGAAAATAAAAACTGAGAAATTTCAAGAAATCCACGAACCAATGCTCGCTGCTCAACAATGCTGAAACCGAAAGGGCCGAATCCATAACTGAACAAAGAAATGATCATGATGAGGATTTGCGTGAAAGTGATCCAGTAGGTGAAATAAGGCCGGTAATCGTCCATGTCGTCCAGCTGCTCCTTAACTTTAGCACTCCTTGTAGATGACGCCTTCATTCGTCGACTGGCGGACAAAAAAAAACAAGCGTGAAATCGTTTACGCGCCTTTATATAAAAAATTCTAGTTCTAAAACGTTGTCAAAAGTTACTGAAAATCGTACCCTAATAATCGACCGATGACACCCATGCCGTACTGACGTCGATTGGCATTACTGCGCATGTTCTCAATTCTTTCTCGCGATACCCGTTGGAGTCCAACTCCACGGAGACTTGGGAAATGACGCTCTTGTAGCCGATGGTCAACGACATCTAGTTCCGGGAGCCTAATACTGTCTAGATATTGCTTTAGCTTCCATCCACCAGAGCTCGCTCTAGAAATAAAGAGAAACCGCGAAACCCCCGTTCAAATGGCTTTCGGATACACGAATGACCCCAAATGGAGTACACATTTGGTTAACGAGGAAACTGGCCAGATTTTTTAGATGAGATGAAGCTGCACGAAATCTTTCCATCTGGTGATCACGACACTCCGTGCTTCAAACCCCCGAAAATTTTATATGGGTCTTCAACTCTTCATATAGGTGTCGCTTCCATGCTAATTAACGTACAGTACCGTACTATTTACCTTGTAGACGCTGCTTCGGTTAAACATTCGCGGCAGTTATTTCTCCCCATCACCAGTCAGGATTAACAGGACAAAAAAATAGAGAAAGTGAATATAAATTCGAACATGCAACACTCCATAATTGAAAAGCAAAAAGAAAAATACAGTATCGGAGTTTAAATTCCCGAAAAAAGATTTCTTACACTTCCAGGGAACCTCGGACAACGGGTTTTCGATACGGGATGGAATCACTTTCGTCTCTGTGTACGGGAACCGACTGATCGAAGAAAACTTCAGTTTCAAGCATGGACAGCAGCTCCTTCTCACGAGGTTCTCGCCTTTCATAAAAAAAATGATGAAAAAGTAGATACAATACTCACTGTATACACACTCACATACCGTCACACATATCTGATATACACGCGCATGTACACACTACATAGATATTCAGCCAAGACATGAGTAATTTCTCTTAAATGATATTCATGACGCTAAAAATATTTTGGTCGACAGAATTGCCAATGAAGATCGGCAGAATCAGGCGCTCATCGAAAATTATATTTCTCTACATGAAAAAAATTATTATTTAGTGATCCCTATTGAATAATTTCAGAGGAGTTTTCATCACTTCACCAGTTTCAACAGGTCATGGACAGCACTATCAACAAAAGGAATACTTCTTTCTCTCTATGTAGGATGAGTTAACCTGCCTCACCTATCAACAAAATTATGTCTCCATTTATAAAAAAATATAATCACATTTCCTGAAAATGGTAGTCCAGTAGAAAGCTCTAAAAAGGGGCAACAAGGTCTTCTATAAATCTGCACTACAGATTACCTCCTGAAGGATCCTATGATTATTGGGAAGCCCAAGTGTTCTCATGGCAAAACTAGTCCATGCTTCAATGGGCATTGTTTTAGAAAGATTCTGCACACATAAAAAACTCCACTCCTTTTGACCTCAAAACAGAGCTGGGTTCTGTGCCACATGGACCATTTTTGCGTTATTCCTCCCTGAATAAACCCAGATCTATATCCAAATGTCTATCTTCAAGTGATATCAATTGACTACTAAATATTGTACATTTCCAGCCAACCATCAACTTTTCCATATCACACCTTGATGCATCAAAGTTTAAATCAATCGACCTCAAGTTTAGAAGATTCTGAAGCATGTATCATCTGCTGGGTAGTTTTCCAGCATATTTTATGTAAGTTTGGACAGCTGCATGGAACTAACTGTACTGTAGTGCATTAACTTTAAACAAGCAAATGACACGCCAGAGTGATTTGAAGGAAAACCTCCTCGTCTACCAGGGGTTGAGTTTTTTGAAAATTACAAACTCTGACGGCTGAGCATCATTGCACTTCAGAATGTCAAGTTTCCCTGCCTTGAAACCACTTGGTCAATTTTTTCAAGTCCAGGGGAATTTGACTTGAGGAGGTTGAACTGTATTTCCAGCTTCATTTCAAGAATTAAACTTCGAAGATTCCATTTAAGAATGGATTGCTTTAAAATTCAAATTCCATAAATAAAGCGGCAAGGGATTTCACGCCTGCTTTCTCATCCGCCAGTCTCAGTGCACCAATTGGAGGTTTATATAAACACATCTTTTAGTAGCAGGCATAAAAGTAGTCAAGCTACACCTATAATAGAGTGTTTTGTTTATTTCCAAAGGAGTAAAACGTGCTGTCTAAGTGAGTGGACCTTAGTGGCTCATCTTCGTTGAGGGATTGCAGTGGAACAGCTGTTGATGCAGTGTCAGGTGTGGGCCATACGAAAACAGAGTCCGTGGAATGAGGCGTGATGGCGTTAACAGAGGACGTGGCGTAACTACGAGACCAGCCACGCTTCGCAGTCTTCGACATCGGCAGAGCAGAGCCAACTTTGGTGGAATTCTTGCGCTTTGTGATTGTCTGCATGCAAACCCAAAACAATTACAATAAAATATCGTTACAACAAACACCGTTCAAACAACTTTCAGTACAGTACAACAAAATATGTCATGTGACAAAATGTTAGCATCTGTGAAACGAATTGAGTTATTGCCATGCACATAACGTCAAAATGCATTTTATAATGAATGCACACTAATTGAATTTTAAAGGAAGCTAACTTTGTGCTTCTTTTCAGAGGGGTCTTTCCATCAACTGTGTACAGTACTGTACTGTATAGGTATAGGATTATTTGTGCTCTTTTTTTTTTATTCCTGTGCATGCCAACAGGGCAGATTCTGTTCAGTTTTTCATTTTCTGCATCTTCAAGTTTAAAAAAGCTTTTTCTACTGAATTTTTCGAAAAATGTAATTTTTTTAAACATGAGACGTGATAACAAATTTTTTCAAGGTGTGTGAGTAAAATAAGATCCAACACGCAGATACGGCATTTCAACATGCGAAAACGTTTTGAGGACATGTTAATATTTTCTGGTCCCACCTTGAGTATTTTTGAACGCATGGCAAAAAAAATAAGTTTGAAAATTCAATATGATCACTACGTTATTTATTATACTTCTAAAGAAATTCTTTTATCCTTCAACGAGGATGGTTTTTTTTAATTAAAAAAACTCACCTGCGCAATAAGCGCCAGTCCTTGCATGGTTAGCTTGGAAACGGGTTCTTTCCTGCCACTAGGAGCATGTCTCGGCATGGGTTCGCTGTCCACCTGGTCCAACCCATCGGTCTCGGTACTTAAGGTTTTCTGAAACAATTTCAAAACGAATAAATCACAAAAATTACGCCTACTACGGCTTATTAAATTGAAAGGCATAAAATCGGCTGTTGTCTAAATTAGTTAAAATGATGGTTTACAACCTCTTAGCTTAAACGTCTCTAAACCTTCGATTGTATGACTTACCGTCGCAAGCCTTTAGCT